GGCTCTTTCTTTGTCTACATTATCCAAATAACCAGTTAATTATTTTCTCAATGGTTGCGTTTGGGTCATGTGCTGCCATGACGAATGTATCGGGTGATCGGGTCTGGAGTCAAAGCAGATCCCATTTTGACAAAATAAAAGAAAGAAGAAAAATATACACTGAAAAGAATACCCACTGAGGATCAACCGTGTTTGATTGGTTCCGCCACGTGAAGAAACTGCCAAGGAAAAGTGTTCAGAAAAGGAGCAGCCAGCACACACCCAGCTTGCCATTGCCCGCCATGAACCACACCACGGCAGCGTGCCTGAGGTCGAGGGGAAAGCATTAGTTAGCCATGATCACGTATGATTTCGATGTAGACCTGTGCTGCCGGTAAAATCCCCTTCCTAATTTAATGAACAAAGTAATTGGCCTGTGCTGCGTGTAACAGTTGCCCCTCGTGTCCGTCTTGAAGATCAACTTGGTCTCAAATGGGAATTTCGACCATTCAAATGGAATTACCATCATACTTGTACCAGTACTTGCAAAATGAAGTCGACACATCTCTGTGGTGGGAGTTGGTGACCATGCAAGTTGCCCAGCGACGACAACGACGGCTCGTCGGCGGCCAGACGCGCGCCACCGCCAAACCGGCCGGGCGTCTAGGGCACAAAGGAGGTCAGATTTTACTAATGAAGGTGATAAGCTGCCAGTGCCCTGCGAATGCTGGCAAAGTTTAGGCCTGAATGCCTCGGTCACTGTCATCCAGCCAGCGCGTCATCCGCCAACTGCACTAGGAAAAGTATAATGTAACAAAAAATTAGTAATGTTATTATTGGTCCAATAATTGTTCTAGTGGGCAAACTAGTTCTTGAAGAAAAGGTGCAGCAATGGTTGGTGCTGGAATTGTGTTGTCAAGGCTACTGCCGCCCTAAACAAATAATTAAATATGCAAATAATTTGTCATGGTTACCTTTTTCAAATCATTATCTTTACAGAAAGATTGAAATCAACGATCATTGCTTATGTGTGCTTGAAGAATTAAATTCCAAAAGAGAGATATATGACATGGTCAGAAAATGGGAAGAGTCTTCATAATTTGTAAAAGGCAGTAAGACAAAAAAAGGATCTTTGCCATATCAATTGTAATAATTGTCTCAAGGCAAACGTGTGAGGAAAATATCAGCAAAAAATGATTCATTTTCAATAGCAAATTGTAAAAGGCAGCTAGCTATCTCAATTGTTAAAGGCAAGTACGCAACCACAGCCCACAACCATGTATGAACAACAGTAATGGATGTGTCTTGAGCAATGAAAAAAAAATAGCATGCTATGTCAAAATAGCGTAGCTCTTAAAATCCGCTATAGCGAAGCCATGTCATGCAATAGAGGATGATTGTACACTAATTTCATTTAGCGGGACATTGCTCAGAAGTCAGAACGCTATGGCGTGCTATTCAAATCGGTGGCCTCGAGGTATTTAGATCAAAGTGCATCATAACGTTTACAGATTAGCCAAAAAGCAAAGGGGAGAAGCAAATTCAACACCATTCTGTTTGTACAGCTAGGAAGAAACTTGGTCATATAATAGCTTTCATCCATTCAATATTAAATATTTCCAGCGAAGAACATATCCTCCACAAAAGTTGCTAGTTGATAACCTCTACCGAACGGCAAGATTGTTGCCAAAGGCTGCTTTCGGTTGTTTGAATGAAACACATCTCCAAAATCCAGCTTCCAATTCCAAACGTGAGAACCACAACAAGTAAACAACATTAAGAACTGAACAGCAGAAAGTTTGCAAGGACTGCTGGGAACGCCATATCAATTAGAAAATGGAGACAGGCACACATATATGATCCACAAGGAACTTCTGCATAAGGCAGCACTGCTTACAAGGCTAAAATACTCTGCCAAATTTGAAGCCGGTTTCCTAGAAATTCAGATTTGTAGTGATACTCAAGATAGGTACAGTATTCACAATGGTGAAGCAGAATACAAGTCAGCTCGTAGGAACTCTAGCTGCTCGAAAATGGGAACACATATACTCCCTCCGTCCCAAAGTAAGTGTTCAACTTTGTACTAACTTTAGTACAAAATTGTACTAAGCTTGAGACACTGATTTTGGGACGGAGGGAGTAGGTTAAGAATATACAGAAACCTCTGGTTCAAACATTGGACACCAGACGTGCAGTTTCGTTCTCCACATAGAACCAACAACTTTCTTAGGACTTGGATTATCAGGTCCCCTATCCCTCTGCCCAGAAGTGAAATAGAGCCAACCATCCCAGTAACCAGCTAAGGCTGTCTTGATCCGGAAAGGCATACGACCAATGACTGACCATTTCTGCAAAAAATGGCATGGCAAATGTTAAGCCACTTAGTCATGTCCTAATATTCAGAGGAAAATAATCATAACATAGCTAATATGAACAAGCAAAATAATTTACATATAAGATAGAACACACCAATGTTTCCAAATCAAACCGGAAGACTTCACCAACAAGAATCATCTTTTTGGTGATAGGGTGCTTCTCGGTAGTTCCGCCAACAATTACTATGGAGTTATTAACAACGACCCATGCAAATTCTATGTGGGAATCTGGCTTTGGCATTGGAGACAGTTGCTTCCATTTAGCTTCATTGTCTAGCATATACACATCACCATAAACAACCTGCAAAACAATATCTAACATAATCATGCTTCTGGTAAAAACTTTAGCGACAGACCGTGAATCAAGACTATCAGTTATTGCACAACAATAGGTTAAAGCCTGAATACAAGAAAGCACATTTACTAGGTGCAGCAACGCTTTTTGTTAGAGAAAACGTATGAGTATTCAACTTTCCCGTGTATGCTTTATATTGTACGTTACTAAGCATGGAAAAATGCATATCTTGGTTGCAAAATAGAGAAATGTCGTGTACAGGAAGCACTCTTATATTTCAAGGTTTGATGTTATATTAGCATGCACATACATACCTCATGCCTCCTTGCGCATTTAAAAATAGGTGACCCTGGTTTAGGCATGAAGTCTCCCTCTTGACCACCAATCACAAAGAGTTTGTCGTTAGCAACAACACATGCCCTGCCAAAAGATGGATGTAAGAAATTATCGACATATTTGTTCATCTGAAAATAATTCTAAGAAGTATCCCCTATCCACGGAGAGGGTGCCAATAGTACTACAAATCAATGGATATTTAGTCTTCAAGCACAGGACACCTATTTTTATTCTTAGAAAGCTTAGAAAGAGGTGAATATCTCAATGGGCAATTGCATATAAATAATGCATAACAATAGCCACACAAATTCACCTATGAGGTCCACCACGTGGTATCGGTATTTCAGCTCGCCACTCATTCTCCAATGCTTTGGCATCCTTCACAGCAAGGCTCCAGTGCTCTAATCCAGGTTCATGGCGGTCTTCTTTGCCACCACCCATCACATGAAGCCGCCCACGCCAAAGTTGAGTAGCTGGTGCATACCTACAGCATGTTATAGAGTAAGCTTCGGATCTTGATAGTTATAACAGCATATAGTATAAGCATGGACCATTTCATAGCTCCAGCATTATAGCTGCAGTCAAAACAGGGCCAATGGAGCATATTGAATGAGATTCTAGGAGTATGTCTGAACAAACTGTTAACAATATCAAGCTAAGAATACAGTAGTACAATTTGACTCACGGGATATGAGCGAATATCAGTTACGGCATTATCATGGCACTAAATTACAAACGAACATGATTGCCACTATTGGATTATGCAACTGTCTTGCCTCTTGTGTGTGATAAACAGTAAACTGGATAAGCAATGCTTGAACAGAATAAAGTCAGAAGGAACATATAGATATTGATAGCAGCCAAAACGAATATTACAGCAACGCATATGCACCAATTTTGAGTCTATTGAACAGGTAATTATAGGCTGAAATGCATACCTAGGAACAGGTAAAGGAGGCAATTCGTCCCACTTCCTTAACTTTGTGTCTAGAACAAAATTACGGCTCACAGCTGGCCGACACTGTGGACCAAATTGTCCAGACACTGCATAGATGTATCTCCCATCTGAGGCCATCCCTAAATGTGAATTTGACATCTTGGGCATATCAAACCTTCCAGTCCATGTGTTAGAAGTGAAATTGTACACATCCACATGAGAATGGACCTGAAATGGCGTGAAGCAAAGCAAAATATCACAAATGGGGTTCGTGTCAGCCTGTGGCCGCGGTAACCATTTGCCAAACAAAACATAATCAGACTTGCTTTACTTCTGCTGAAGCATCAGTTGTAAACTTGTGATTCAAATCCAAATATACAGTTAGTCAGCTACTATTTTAACCTTTACACTACTGGTAGTAGCAGTTTTCAGCACAAGTCTGGAGTAGATCAAATTAATTTACAGCTAATACTTGCAATGTTAAGTTGTTAACCGTCCTTCGTAATATCCTGCGTTAGAATTCTACTCCAGAGTAGGGCGGTCGCAGGATATGAGATTGCTCAGCTATATGATTTGCTTGCTTCATCCATAACAGGGCACTGCTGAGCATTTACCAGCGGCGGCTAGGAGTACGAGTAATCATCTCATCTCAGTTCTCAAGTGTGAAATCCTACTCGCTATATATATATAAAAAAATAGAGGTTAAGGAACAACGAGGCAACAACTCTGCAGTCTGCACGAAGTGAGTGATTTGAGTTACTCACATGGTCGAGGCTCCCGTACCCTGCGACGACGTAGAGGAGGTCCCCGATCTGCACGGACGCCCCGTCAAGCCGGGGAACGGGCGCCGGCGGCATCTCCTCCCACTCCCAGTGCGGCGCCGGCAGGTCCGAGAACGTGGCGTTGAGGTGTCTCACCGCCGGTGATCCATTGCGAAGCTTCGTATCGTCAATATTACCCTCCTTTACCTGCACACGAGAGACTGAACGGTGGCGCGCGTCCATGTCAAGGCAACGTCGATGAGAACCCAAGTAGAGTTGGGCGGGGAGGGTGGTTAGCTACCGTCTTGGAAGAGGAGGAGACGGCCGGGCTGATGGCGGAGGAATAGGAGAGGAAGTCGGCAACGAATGCGAGAGCGAGGAGGAGCGCGAGGGCGAGCGGCACGGCGAGCCGCGGGGGGAGGGGCGGCTTGGAGCTTGTGGTTGGCGGCGCCGGCGCAGCCATGGTGGAAAGGAATCGGCGTGTGCCGTGTAGGAGGGGAGAGCCGGCGTCATTGGCGAGATAAAGGCGGTCGGAGCGAGAGACGCTGCCCGGTGTGAGAGGGGGGGAAAATCGTTGGCGGCCGCCGGAGCGTGGGCGGGTGAGCCCGCGGTTTCCTTGTTAGGGCAACTCTAAGGACGCATTTGGTTGCGGTTGCCAGTCTTTTTTTTTTTTAGCAATCGGTACAGACCTAAGCGCTCATATACGCGCGCATACACTCATCCTATGAACGCACACACGCACACCCTACCCTTATGAGCACCTTCGAGAGACTGAACCGGCATATCATTTTGAGATTTTACGAAGTCACCGTAAGCGCCTTGTAGTCGATGGGAATGTCTCCTCCCACTAAAAGTGTATCGCCGGAATTCTTGAAATAAATTCAGGATAAATGCAAGCACCAGGATTTGAACCCTGATGGGTTAAGGATATCACTGTCCATCTAACCATCTCAACCAAAGGTTGGTTCGCGGTTGCGGTTGCCAGTCAAGTCCGCGTGGAATGAAAATGGGCTCTACGTTCACTGTTTGGTCCGCATAGTACGAATCTTAAAACATTTCTTAGGCAGGCCCATTAGAAACGGCCAAATCGGTCATTTCTTTTTTTAATGAAGATGAGCTAGATCCAGCGTAAGTAGTGGGTTCCATTGCATAAGAGAATACAAGAGGGATGTGAGCACCTGATATCTTCTCCTACCTCTGGTAACCTTCTAATTCTTGTCTCTTCCGATCTATACAACGATGTTTCGATTCAAGATAAGCTCTACACGAAAAATATGCACATAAATATTGTCGGATCACGGGTTCCGGCAAAACCCTTAAGGTTCGAACACTGGGGTGCGCGCGAAGATCCCCCTACCGATCCACGTCCTAACTCAGCTGAGATCTTACGAACTAACTCAACGAACTCGCAACACAAAGGACATATGATTTATACTGGTTCGGGCCACCGTTGTGGTGTAATACCCTACCCTAGTGTGGTGATGGTGGATTGCCTCTGGGGCTGATGATGAACAGTATAAGGGGAAGAACAGCCTCCTGAGGTTGAGGTGTTTTTGTGCTTGGTGAACTTGTGTGTGTGAGGATCTGATTCACCCTCTCTCCACCGATGGTGGTGGCTAGCCCTATTTATAGAGGCTCTGGTTCTCTTCCCAAATATTGAGCGGGATGGGAGCCAACAACGGCCAATTTGAAAGGGGACAACTAGTACAGTTTATCTTGACAAAAGTGGTCTTCGCCTGCAAAAGGCTCTGGTGGTGACGCCGCCTTGAGCTCCATGGTGACCTCCGTCTTGCCGTCCTTCTGATCTTGGTCTTGTTGCACCGATATAGAAACCTTTGCTTGATGCCTCGGTACTCCGCGCCTGCGCTTGTCCCCTTAGCACCAAAGAGAAAACAAGGACACTGTGCGCGCTGGTGCCCGCCTGGTCTCGATCGTCACTGCTTACGTCATGAGAACCTCACAAGGTTTGTCGTGCCTTGATCTCTCCGCCCCTCGTGAGCCTGCCTGGCGAGGCCGCTCCTGAGAAGGTCTTGCATCGTCCGCCTCGCGAGGCTTGGCCCCTCGCGAAGGTCTTGAATGCCTTATTGATGAGGATGGGCCATATAGGCCTGCTAGCAAAGCCACGCCGTCGGCCGCAGGCAAGCAAGTTGTAACGCCCTGAGACCGATGTGCCAGGTGTCTTCCAGTTATTTCACTGTCGTTGCCTTATCATGTGTATGCGTGTCATGCATTTCATATCATGTCATCATATGCATCGTATCGTCTCATGCATCCGAGCTTTTCCCCGTTGTCCGTTTTGCATTCCGGCACTCCTATGTCCTCCGGCGTCCCCTTTTGCCTCTTTTCGTGTGCGGGTGTTAAACATTTTCGGATTGGACCGAGACTTGCCAAGCGACCTTGGTTCACTACCGGTAGACCGTCTATCAAGTTTCGTGCCATTTGGACTTCGTTTGATACTCCAACGGTTAACCGAGGAACTGTAAAGGCCTTGTGTGTGTTGCAGCCCAACACCCCTCCAAAGTGGACCAAAACCCACCAAAACCCCCTCCATCCTCTCGGTCGTTCGATCACGATCGCGTGGCCGAAAACCGCTCCTCATTTGGACTCTCTTAGCTCCCTCTACCTATAAATAGGTGTCTCCCCCTCCATTTTTGCGGATGAAACCCTAGCCTAGCCTCCCCCGCCGCCACCGGACGCGTCCGAGACGCCCGGACATGTCCGCCGACGCCGACCGACGAATCAATGTCTGCCATGTCAGCGCTGCCGCCCTCTCTCTCCTCCTCCACCGCGCCAGCCACCGCGGCCCGCCCAGGCCCGCACGGAGCCCGCTCGAGCCCATCGGGGCCCGTTCGCGCTGCCACCCGCTCCCACTCGCCGGAGCTCGCCTTGCTCCGCCGCCCCGCCTCCCGTGCTGGCCGCGGCCGCCGCCGCCCGCCTCCCGTGCCGGCCG